ATGCTGCTTTGTTCACTCATCTCCCATGCTTTGGAGGTTGATGCTGAGATGGGATTTGTGGTCTATGATGTTTATTAAAGACCTGCACCTGGGACACAGAGGGAAATGAGCATAGGCAGGAGTTGAGCAGTGATGTATACTCAATGAAGCGGAAAACCTAGCAGGTCTGGAGCAGGTACTCCCCAGGAGAGATATCCACCATCAGATGAAGATGGCTGGGATGAAGTGAAAATGGGGATGCACCACCCCGGGCAGGCCATGACCTCTGCAAAGCATCTCTGAAGGAAGGCAGACCCTGAAGGAGCTTGTGTATCTTTTCCAGTGAATCATGCAAAAAGTCACAATTTGAAAATTTTGTGTTATTGTTCCCTTTCCTGATACCTTTTTCCTTCTCTTTGAGGCTCAATCGGTGAGTCTCTCTTCTCTTAACTTATCTCAATTTGCTATTAATGTAAAGCAATTTCGATATTTAGTAAAGCAATTGAAATATTTTAGAAAAGGGACAATTTAGAATGATGCATGAAGGAAATGATTTATCTTTTTTTTTTTCCTGTTACAGTGTGTAACCTTCAGGAGGCCGATGTGATTTTCCTTTGTGATGGCTCTGATATGGCGTCCGATTCAGAGTTTGTTACCATGACAACTTTCTTGTCAGACTTAATTGATAATTTTGACATCCAGTCTCAGAGAATGAAAATCGGGATGGCTCAGTATGGGAGCCGCTATCAGGAAATTATTGAGTTGGAAAACTCTTTGAACAAGACCCAGTGGAAGTCACAGATTCGGACTGTGGCCAAGAGCAAGGGGCTCCTCGCATTGACTTTGCCCTTAAACACGTGAGCCGTACGTTTCACCCATCTGCTGGCGGGAGAAGAAACACTGGAATCCCTCAAACGTTGGTTGTCATCACATCTGGCTATCCCCACTATGATGTGGCAGGTGCAGTCAAAACCCTGAAAGACCTTGGAATTTGTATCCTGGCTTTGGGCATAGGAGATGTTTTTAAGGAACAGCTTCTGCCCATCACAGGCAATTCTGAAAAAATAATCACTTTTCAAGACTTTAATAAATTACAGAATGTGGATGTGAAAAAAAGGATGGTCCGTGAAATCTGCCAGAGCTGTGGGAAAACCAGTAAGTGTTTTGTTGTTGTCTAGCTTTATTTGATGGCAGCTTCCTGTGCTGTGTCTCCATTTCCCCAGGCTAGTCCTAGAAAAACACATTTAGAACAATGTACAGTGAAAAGAGATGTCCCCTCTGTCTCCTGGAAATTTGGGATCATTCAGCCTCCCTCAGAGACAAGGAGATGGTACAGAGGCTGAAAGGGAGGGAGCTGGGCTGTGGCCCCTGGTCAGCCCTGTCCCCTCTCTGCCATCCAGTGTTTATCCTCCTTTTAGCACCTGGATCTCACCTCCTATTTCTGAAAGTCCTAAGGACAATATCCTTCATCTGTTAAGAAGTAAAGAAAATTAACACTTGGGGCTGGAGAGATGGCTCAACAGTTAAGAACACTGACTGTTCTTTCAGAAGACCTGGGTTCAAATCCCAGCACCCACATGGCAGCTAACAACTGTCCGTAGCTGTGGTTCCAGGGGATCTGGCATTGCATGACATGGGTGCACTTACCTACATGCAGGCAATACACGCATACACATAAAATAAAAATAATAAAATATTAAAAAAAGAAAATTAATACCTGCTGATTGAAACATGTATGTGCCTGTGGTATATGTGTTCATGCATGTGTACATGTGTGAATGCCCATGCATGTTTATACACATGTATGTGGAGGTCAGAAATCAGCATCGAGTGTCTTCCTCAATTTCTCTTCACCTTATTTTTTGAGAGAGGGTCTCTCACTGAACCTGAGCCATGCTGATTTGGCTAGACTGACTGGCCAGAAAGCCCCAAGTATTCTCTTTTCTCTATCTTCCCAGTACCAGGATTGCAGGTGTGCACTGCTGCACCTGCTTTTACATGGGTGCTGGAGCCTGAACTCGGGTCCTCGTGCTTGCACAGTAAACATTTTAACAGCTGTGTCATTGCCCCAGCTTCTTGAAACTTTTACTGTCTTAACTCTGTTAAACCAGTGAGGGACTCAGTATGTGCATTTATGTTTATGTGCGCAGTGTTGTTTTCGTCAAATGACGTCTGCATTACTGCAACATAACAAAGATCTGAGTTTAGAGATGATCTCATCTGGAGTCCACAAATGAAATGGACACATAGGACTTGTGGATAATCTTGAGGAATCAGCTGGGCAGGGTGTGAGGACAGCAGACTGGAGAGCAATGATCCAGTTAACAGGGGTAACACCCTCAGCTGCAGCTGGTAGTAACCAGGAGAGTTTTGGGTTCTGTTGGTTTGAGGCTGGGAGTTTGGAAAATAGCTTGTCAGCAAGCATCTTTATCATGTAGAATTTGTGGACCGGGCAGGAATTCCTCTGTGCTGCTGTCTGTAGAGCTGTAGGGATGGAAGCTGCTCCCTCACAACAGGTTTCAGGTTTTCCAAGCACTCCAGACCCCCTCTGTGTGTGTGTTGTGTTGTGTTGTGTTGTGTTGTGTGTGTGTGTGGTCTGTGCATCTGTGTATGCACTTTTTTGCATGTGTATGGGTACGCATGCATGTGTGTGCAGTCATGTGGAGGCTCAAGGTTGATGTTGGAAATCATCCTCCATCTCTCTTCCACCTTCTGCACTGAGGCAGGGTCGTTCATTCAAACCCAGAGCTCACGGATACAGCTAGTCTCTATAGACAACTTGCTCTAGGCAGCTTGTCTCAGTCTTCTCAGGCTGGAATTTCAGGTGGGCACCAGGCCTACCTGGCATTTATGTGGGTTTCTGGGGATCTGAAATCAGGTCTTCATGTTTGCACAGCAAGCACTTTAACTGCATAGCAATCTCCCCAGCTCCTGCTCCAGATGTTTTAAGTCCATCTTGGTGCTCCCATGGAGGCAAGAGACAGAGGACAAAAGCCATGCTGTGTCTGGAGAAAGTGTAGCTAGCCCCCTCACCCCTTAAGGACAATAGTACTCTCCTCACTAATATTTAGCAGGCTCCTGGCACTTGACTTTTTCTGCCTTTGTTGATGCAGAGGTTTGAGGAGGGGAGAGTCTGCTCCCAGGATGCTGGGTGCAGACCTATAAGACATCTGTTTTCTGGAATGCTGGGACCAGTTTGTCATGCCCCTCCCCCTGTTATTGTATGCATCAAAGGAGGTCTGTTACTGGGCCAGCCCCCATGGCCTTGGGCACACTGTGCTGTTTTCTTATTCTTATGATGGGAAAATTCCCATGTGTTTTACACTTGTCATATGTAGACTTTGTGTGAATGTCAAATGCTGAGCTTCCAATAAAGGCTCTCAGGAGGGCAGTGAGAGTGCTCCCGAGGACGGCTAGAAGAAAGCTCCAGTTCTAACTCTGGAGCAGCAGGCACAGCCTCCGTGAATTACTGTCTCCTTGTCTGAAAATGAGAAACTAGATAGAATCAGAGGTGACTCAACTTGAACATGCAATTTACTTGTTATATCTAGCGTGGGTAACTTACATTAAAAATGTAGATTTCAGTCTCTACTTTGAAAAACATCAGCTCTAACAGCATTGGGCTCCATTTCCCACTTGGTACACTCAGCTGGTGCTGACAGTGAGCAGAGATGGTGCTCTTTGCTGTCCATCTCGCTGTCTCCACTCCCTGCCCATTCAACTCCTCTATATTATCCAAGTGGCCTTTGCAGAAGTAGGCACTTATGAGCACTGGAAATTGAGTAACCACCACACACACACACACACACACACACACACACACACACACACACACACACGGAGGAGTCTCCATTATGGTTTAAAACTCAGATGCCTGGTGGGACTTGTAATATCTCAAAGGGTTTTCTATGCTAGTAGCACAGCAATTATCTGTAATCTTGAACACTCTTGGGTACTAGACTCTCCCTGGCTCTAGCTCTGGGCATGACGGCAATTCTTTCTCCTGCCCTTCCTTTTAACCCTTCCTCATTCCTGTTTGCTCATCACTTGGGTCTTGTTTCTTTTGTCTCCAGATTGCTTTGTGGATGTGGTGGTCGGGTTTGATATTTCGACTCACCATCAGGGGCAGCCTTTGTTCCAGGGCCACCCTCATTTGGAATCATACCTCCCAAGCATCTTAGAGGCCATCACCTCTCTCAGAGGGGTGAGCTGCGGGGCAGGTGCAGAGGCACAGGTGAGCCTAGCCTTTAAGGTGAACAATGACCAAGAATCCCTTGCTAAGTTCCAAATCTATCAGAAAGCAGTATTTGACAGCTTGCTGCAAGTCACCGTTGATGGGCCATCTCATCTGAATGCACAGTTCTTGCAATCATTGTGGGACACGTTTGAGGAGACATCTGCGTCCAGGGGCCAGGTATCCTTTCGACATTCCATCTCCCATTCCTCCTTCCTTGTTTGTTCCTCCTTCCCCAGCTGTATCTCTGGCTTTCCATCATCCCATTCTCTGTTTTCCTCTCTGTAGGTGCTGCTGATCTTTTCCGATGGTCTCCAGGGCGAAAGCATCACAGCGCTGGAAAATGAGTCGGACAGGCTCAGAGAAGCAGGTATTGAGTTGAAAACGGAAACAGTGGAGTGTGGAGCATCTGAGCAAGTCTCTATCCTATGTGAGCTAGATCTTGGGATCTGGGCAGCCTCTTTCCAAAGGTGCTAGTGGTGACTTGTGCAGAGTCCTTTGATCAGCCCCCACTGTCCTCCCTAAATGATGCAAAGCTATAACCAAGTCCTTACACCTGTGACTTTTTACAGGCATATGCCATTGACCAACCTGAGCAGCTTGGGCTCAGATTGTTGTTTACTCTTCTCCTTGCTGTAACCAAATACCTGAGAAGTGAGTTGAAGAGGAGAGGTTTATGCTGGCTTATATCTAGGCAGGGGGATACAGTGTGTCCTGGCAGAGAAGACATGGCAGGGGAGGGTCCAGTGCTGACAAGGGGCTCTGTGGTGGTGGCAGGAGCATGTGGCAGCTGCTTGTTCACATCTCAGCAGAACAGGAAGCAGAGAATGAGGAATTACAGGGATCAGGTAGCTTTCTCCTTTTCCCTTTTGTGCCCAGTCCAGGGCCCCTGCCCATGGGGTGGTGCCACCTGTATTCAGGGCATATCTTCTTCCCTCAGTTGATCCTCACAGGAAGTATCTTCACAAACACCTTCAAACCTGTGCCCCAGTAAAGTCCTAGGGGCTCATTAATATAGTCAAGCTGACAATGAGGAGTGAGCATTGCAGGTGATGTTAGACCATGTCCCGTTTCAGTAGGTTTGGCTCTTTATGATGTAGATATTCAAAAACCCAATGTTTTTGCTTCAAGTGGGTCAACTGTGGCACAGTTAACACATTCAGAGCCGCTCACAAATCAGACCAAGGCTGAGAGTTTGGTGAGATAGAACCCTCTCACTACCTTCCCTTTGCTGCCTCAGTTGTGTGTGGTTTTTTTTTTTTTTTTTTTTTTTTGAGACAGGGTCTCACTGTGTAGCCCTGGCTGGCCTAGAATTCACTTTATACACCAGGCTAGCCTTGAACTCACAGAGATCCACCTACCTCTGCTTCTCAAGTGCTAGGATTAAATGCATAAGCCACCATATCTAGCATCTTTTCTTTCTTAGTAAAACTCTCTCTCTCTCTCTCTCTCTCTCTCTCTCTCCTCATATTCTGTTTCTAGAGAGTCTGACATAATCCACTTCCTATTTTCCTGAGAAAAAGCAGGTTTTCTGTTTAGCCATGAGAAAGATAGCAGTGTGATTCCAGCAAGCATGTCTGACCTTTCATGTTGTAGGTGTCAGCTCTGGACTGAGCTGGAAGAGAGATGTAGAAGTTGAGAGTCATCAGTAGAAAAGGAGAGTCTATTAACTGTCGAATGGGGCCCATCATATAAAACAGCTTTGAAAGAGCCCCAGAATCACCTTTAGGGCTTTTCACAGACCCTCCCTAGAATCACAAAATTTGCTGTTTTATATCTGGATGGTGGCATCTTCTCTGTTCAGATTCAGTGCCTTCTCATGGTCCTCGGATTAGGCAAGGGACTACAGAGTCCAGCCTGAGCTCCTTCCTCACACTGGGCATTCCAGCACACACAGCTTTCCTCCTCCAAGGCATTTATGGTCCCCTTCCTGCCAGTCTTTATCTAGAGCTCTGCATACCTTCCTTCACCCTCAGACTTCTCCATCTTCCATCTCTGGTTCTCTCCCTTGACCAACTTCCATTAATCCTACAGAGTCAGCTTAAACATCACTTTCTCCAGAAATCCTCCTATG